ATCAGTTTCGTTCCTATGGATGTTCAGCATACCAGGGACATCCACTACCTTTGGTTGCATCATCAGTGCCATTTGGCAATACTCCGAGCATCCATCCTGCGAGCTCTCCATATCCCTTACCCCTCAACGCGTCCAAAATGCTCTCACGAAGTCCCAAATCTGACCGACGCTTAACACCAGGCAATGAAACCTGCCCCTCTGTATCAACATCAACAGTTGCCGATTCATTCTTCGATACACGAATGCTAATCCTTAAGTTCCGCTTTGGTGATGAGCGATTTGATGAGGATGGTGAAGCAGCTCCATCTTGCTGCTCGGTGGATGATGTGTCGCTCTGGAAATAGCTTTGGTGGTAGGATCATAAAAAGAAACTTAAAAGAATGACTTACCGCATTGAAGACATCCTGATTAAACCGATATAGGTTGCGCATATGGAAGACGGTGAGTCAAGGTTTAAGTCAAATTGTGTGTTAAACCAACACATACCTGCAGATTCTTCCGCCCACCCTTCTTTGGGAAGTTAAATGCACCCTTCCAACTCCCCTTGCCTGCTGCCACCAAAGTACTCATAGCGCTTTCTGACAAGGATCTCTGATGACCACGCCAATCCCGAGCACTTTCCTCTCCTACGTGCTTCCCAACATGCTTCTCCAATGGCGCAACCATATCCGCCTTTTCCCGTGCAGCTCCAACGGAACTATCTCGACTCGACTGGGTTGTGGAGTCCATCTTCTCATTTGATCCTTCGGGCGAAGGACCCAATTGTGCATAAAAATTGACCAGGTCGTGTTCGGATATTTGGGTGTCTTCCCATGCATCGGATGCACTATGGTACTTTGGAAGACCCGGACGAGCCACTGTCAATCCTGCAGCGGTTGCCGGTGGGCCATGGGTGGTAGGTAGGGAGATGTTCAAATCTGATCCGCTTTTCTGGGCATGAGTGCTGCTTCCCCCTATGTGCCCGATATCGAACAGGGATTGCCAGGCCTTCTTTTTGGATGGTTTCATTCCAGCAGGATCAGGCAGACCATCATCTGTCGGACTCGTGAAGTTGTCACCGGGGAGGTTGAAGGGTTCCGAAATGTGCATGGCACCCTCGTGTTTCTTCTTTCCAATGTTGAGACCAAGCCGGACGGTAAGTTTGGGTCGAGCTGGTGGGGGACTGTGTCCAGGTTCTGGTTCTTGATCAAGTGGCAAGTAGTCTTCGGATATGGAACGGTGCTGTAGAGTAGGTGCTGCATTTGAAGGCGCAGGCAAAGGAGGCGTTGTCGGGCAGGGTTGGAACTCTCCACCGTGTGACAAATGACTGGTCAAACTGGCGGACTTGGATATCGCATTACGTGACGATGACGTTCTAGCCGCCGACTTTCTGGTGGTTGTACTGCTGGTGTTACTCAGAGCTTCTGCTGACCCAGTTGAGGACCCAGTTGCGGCGAGAGATCCGGTTGAAAGTGACATCTGTGATGGGGAGCGTGGAATCTGGGGACCGCTGATTGACATTGGCGGTGATGGTTTCGATTTGAACAGAGTTTCTGTGAGTCGGAGAACATTTTTGAAGGATGGCGACTTTCTGGCTGCGTTAGGACTCGAAGATCCAGGTGGAGTGAATTCGTTGAGGGTTCCATCGGGTGTTGTGGATGTCAGGGATCCAGCAAGTGATGAGGGAGATTTGCGTGCTAATCGTGGAGAATGCTTGGGACTTTTGGAGGACGAGTAGCCTGGCGGTGTCGAGCTTTGATCTATGCCTACCGATGGTTGGCTGATAAACTCGAATGATATGGAGCGATTGAGCACCAAGCTTGCATCCAATCCCCTTGGTTTGCTTCCGTCATGGAATCTATCGTAAGTCGATTCCATTTCCAACCTGGCTCTTTGAGAGAGTATACGTAAAGTACAAAATGCAGGAGTTCCCAAATTTTGAGATTTAGCAAGTATATGGGCCTGGTGGGGCTGAACTCTTCGATCATCGATGAGGGGGTATAGCGGAGTGCACCGATCATCATCCTCCATGATGACGCGATGGAGTTCACTCACAGCCTTGGTAAACAAGAAAATCAAATGTGCAATTCTTTTCCTATGCGGAAGGATACTTTTATGATTACCCCACTATGGGCCATGTCCAGCAGCAGCAGATAGTAGCCGTTTGCTTCATATTGGGAGATGTTAGGTGCAAGCACGAAGCGAGTTAAGTTTTTCCCCCTTGTTGGCCGGTACTGTGCTTCATGCCGTAGCAAGCCTCATCAGCGCTCATCGCCTGGTTGCTCTATGGCATCATTAATATCATCACGACTATTCAACTCATACTTACAGCAGTCTGCGATCACTTGCTCTTGCTGGCCGACGGAGTGCACCCTGCACGCCCGGTGTAATGGACGGAGATACTCTCCGGTAGGCTGCCAACTCGGCGTTGGGCAGTGTTGGCATTGGGTGTGCAAGTGTTACACAGGTGCTGCACCAATGCCTCTGCAGAATTTCTGTTTGGGGAATCATCGAGTTTATAAAAGGACAGGGAGGACTTTGAAGGGAGCACTTCGAGAACGCTGATTAGCGGTTGATAGTGGTTAAGTTTGTTTGACTGGAGTTGCTCAGGTTGCGGTCTTGTGAACAACCTGAACATTTGGACGGGGGCAATAAGTGACTGTTCACAAGCAAGTGCTGCTGTGCAGACTGCCAATGACTTATCATAAGTCTGCGAAATGGACTCTCATCCGGTTTCTTCCCTTATTCTGCCTTGCGGTTCTGCCTTTTGTGACGGCGCAAAGCACGACAGCTGTAACGTTGACACCCTGCCCGACAGTGACTGCGTTGAGTCCTATAGATCTCGATAACCCTTCTGATATCATTGTTGCCATTGGCCAGTCGAACACGGTCGGGCGAGGCGAACCTCTTACCTCTGAAGATACCTCCTACCAACATCCAAACCTTCTTCAATTGGGTCGCTACAACCTGTTCAATAACAACAAAAATGGTTCCTGCGCCATCGTTCCCGCTTTCGAACCCCTACATTTTCCAGACCCGCAGCCCACCCGAAAGCAGAATGGGTTCGTCATGCACTTCAGCGGGCTCTACACTAGGAACATTGCATCTGCAGGACGGAAAGTCATTATCATGCCAGGTGCAATGGGCGGGACAGGCTTCTCCACATCTCCCTTCCAGTGGGGCATCGATAAATCTTTGTATGTGAATGCTCTTGCACGAACCAAATCCCTCCTTTCCTTGAACCCTTCCAACCGCGTTGTGGCCATCGTATGGCTGCAAGGCGAAAGCGACATCGGCTACCTCAATACCACCCAGTACGTCAACCTCGTCTCCGCCATGATTTCCGATCTCCGTGCACAAATATCCTCCATTCGCCCATCCAACGGAAATATTCCCTTTATCGCAGGCGAAATGGTTCAGTATCAGGGGTCAAGCAGCTCGGCCGGCTTGCAGATTCAGGAAGGCATCCGTGCATTATGGAAGTCCATCGAATACAGTGCCTACGTAACAAATCGCGCCTACAACGGAACGTACCTCTTTTCTCCGGACAACCTTCACTACAGCGCCGACAGTTTCCACATCCTAGGTCAGAAATTCTTTGATACATATACAGCCATGGTGAATGGTACATGGACTACTCCTCCTCCCGCACCTTCGACCACAATCACAACTGGATCCTCCCCTACTGGTATTAGTCACGCAGGCGGAAAATGTGGGACGGTGAACGGCATCCGATTGTTCTGTGCTTCTGGGTTGTGTTGCTCAGCATCTTGGATTTGCGGATCAGGAAGTGTGTGTGGGGTGGGATGTCGGAGTGAATTGGGGACTTGTAACACGGCGACCAGCACACCAACCACTACCACGACGACCTCAAAAGCATCTACCGCATCCATCACAACCAGCACTTCGATTCCTCCTACCGGCATCAGCACCAATGGTGGAAAGTGTGGCACGATAAATGGTGTCAGATATCTCTGTGGTGTGGACTTGTGCTGCTCGTCCGCATGGATATGTGGCACCGGAAGTGCATGTGGGACTGGCTGTCGAAGCGGGCTTGGCATGTGCAACAACTCAACCACGACCACCACATCAAAACCAGCAACGACAACATCTGCCTCTACATCCAAAACAACGACAACAACAGCAACTACAACCGCCACCACGCCAGTATTCACCCGCCCAACCTTCCCAGCCGGAACAATCTTTGTCGCCGTGAACGGAAAATGTGGTCCATCGAACAATAGCGCAGTATGCGCCAACAACTTATGTTGTGCGTATCCACTCAATACGGCCGACTACTATTGCGGGGCTACGGTGAATTATTGTGGTGCGGGGAGGTGTGATCAGGCTTTTGGAAGTTGCTGGAAGGCTTAGAATTGGATAAGTACTTTAGTCACTTAGATTTGCATAGTGAGCGGAATACGGTAGATTAGGCTAGCTAGGCGCCGATGGCACTTTCGAATTCAAGTTCAAGACGGTGTACAGGATGGTGCATGGTTGTAGATCATTTGTATATATAATCCCCGTTTAGAAAGTCTGCGCTGGTCCCATTCGTTATTTTGTGGAGGCTGCCACAAGAAGACTTCCAACGATTTCACTCACTGTTTGGACCTCCAAACGGACTTTCTTTTCTGATTTTCAACTTCATATGTATTTTGCGCATCATCACGACAGCTGACCGAATATCAAGTTTTGAACATATGCGCAAGCTTCGATCCCTCGGCCCCTTACCGGGACTTGCCATCCCTTGATACTCTCGGCTCCGATCGTGCATTTGTTTCACTACTGACATGAAGTTCAGCTGACCAACAAGACAAAAGCCGTGATACCCGGATCGGAGCCAAGAGCATGATTGGCCCAATTGGAAATTGGCCCCACCCACCAACACGAGATCCAGCTGACCAACACCATACGAAATTCAGCTGACCAATAACACAGACTCATACGGCATTGTCCAGACAGATCAAAATGAATCTGGCTGTACCTATTTGAAGGAAACTTAAATGCCCACGAAACTTAAATGCCCACTCCCGGAGTTGAACCGGGGATCTTCTGTTTACAAGACAGACGCCTTAACCACTTGGCCAAGCGGGCAACTCCAAAAGAATTGGAAGACATAAAAAATATGAAACATGATAAACTTTAACCCAGATTCGGCTGGGCCAAACATGAACTGGAATTAGGACCCTTGCTGGCAGTCAGTGCTGCCCTTTTCCCTCAGCCCGTTTGATGGGAATAAGGAATATCATTCATTTCAACTGGGCCGACTATTGAAGTGTCGACAACTGACTGGTTGACACATGCGACATGTTGAATTTGAAAAATTATTTCCCACACCATCACACCTCATCCGCATACTCGAAGACCACCACTTTGCCAAAAGGGTCTGTCATCCTACAAAGGGCCACTTTTACACCATAGGCTCTCAAGCTCGTTCCGAAATTCTGGAATGTGGGAGAGCACAAAAGAAGATTTCCGTTACTGATATTTGTTCCATATAACAAGTTGACTTCCGATATGCAAATAGGCTGTTGGATTTAAACGAGCAGTCACACGCTCTCACTATCTTGAAGTGGAATCTGCACCTCTTTCTTCTCCTTTATATGTAGGATCGGGAGTAAGATTTCCTATGCATTCAGATTCCGGTTGATATGGGGAATGACTCAGGGATAGGTTACTTCTTCACAGTACCCAGTCGGGGTTCTGCTTGTATTTCTCTGTGGGTCCCTCTTCATGGACATTGAAGCCCGTCATCCCCCCCCCCCCCCCGCCGCGCGTCCCAAAAAAAGGTTTACTTCGAACTTCAACATTTCCGCCCTTGTTCCGCAAATCCTTGTCCCCGTGGACCTCCAATCAAAGCAGAAATACTGCAAGCATCTCACAGCAGCAACTTCGTATTCTTGGGCATACTTCAAGATTACACGTCTTGGGCAGTCAGATAGCTATGCCTGTGCTATTGAATCTCATGGTCAATTCCATATTTGCAAGATCATTTGCCCATCCGCTTTATGATTGAATAGAAACTTACCATTATGGGTTCTGGGCACTCGAATTGTGCCGTAAAATGTTGTAACAATGAGGGCAGCCTGTCGGGCGGCTTTGGATTCTATCGTCTTTCCCAAGGTGACCGATTATATTATTTAACCTTTGCCCTCCATTCGTGGCCGTATTTACATTTGAAGTCAGATAAACCGACCACGGATCCAGCATAGGACACAATGGTGATGTTGTCCTGATGAACCCGGCCGATGCGTTCTTTGACCTCCTTCTCGGTAATTGCCCTTGGGTTGGGGCAATTCTGACCCCGAAAAGCGCCGTTCAGAAAGTTTTCAATCACGATGGGCTGTAAAGGCAGATCGGGTCCATGACGGGTACATAGCGCGACTCCTTCCACCGGCAACACATATGTTGATGCTTGCTCTTGATGTCGAAATCGCAAGTAGTTGGGTAGTTGGACTTGATGTTGGAAATTTCAGCGTGAAGGCGTTTGGTTGTCCATCGTGCTTTTTTGCCTTGTCCTGAGATGCTGTTGGTTTCGCGCTGACAGGTTGGACATGGATTGTAGCTGAAATATAGGAAGTCTGTTGCCCGGACAGAGAGAGTTGCATCTTCATGTCCTTCTCGACGGCATTGCAAATCTCGGGTAACCCAGTGCTTCCCTTCTTTTTGAACGACAGCATTGGTAAAATCCAATAAGTTGCGGTGGAATTTGGGTATGATGGGATTGGTGGGTCGGTTGCTATGAGCCTATCTATCTCAGCCTCTACCGTATGGAGGGGTGTGGAAGCCAAATAATCAATCCGTTTCCTACTCTGCCGAATCTCCGCCTTGGCTGTTTCGGACCTATAACGTTTGATATCTTGGATTTCTTCAGTGGAGAGGTTTGGGGTAGGCACTTTGTTGGACGCGTTGCGGACGCATCTCACGGTGCAGACGAGGTTTCCAAGGGAGGGACGGTGAGACGCGATGCTATGGCGGGCAACGAAGGTGGGCGAAAGGACGCGGATTCCGGGATGCAAACTGGGCCGGCCAAAGTGGTGGGACCAATACATGTCGGGTTGGACACAGGGAGAAGCCGAAGAATTGTAAGAATAATCACCGTTGGATTGACAACAGGAAATTCTTGCTTAGACTTTTCGAATCCTTGACTTTTATTAGTGTAAGAGGAAGAGCCAATCAGTGCATTGACCTCGGCGGTACCAAAACTCTTGTGGCTACCCTGCATCACCAGAGACTACGTCGTTCCAATTATGTTCGCCGACGCATAAGACTGCCACGATAGCCACAGGTGTTTGTTAGTATTGAACTGAGAGGCCCGATCACGGCAGTCTGTTCGTATGAGCTGACGGTTCGGTGGGAAATCTGAGGCGAGTATTCCATTGCATGTTCAGGATGTTCAAGCTTCGGTCGGTCATCCTCTACGTTGCTGCGCCACTCCATACTTGACGTGTTCAGTCATGGCAAACACCACACCTCTGCCCAAAAATGAACCAAACCTACAAAACACAACCCAGACAAAATCACATACATTCGTCAAAAACACAAAGGAGAACACTAATATACAAGGCTCCCAACAACGTCACCCTTCCTACCCTAAAGGAACAAAAAAAACCCAATTATTTACAATTCATCCCCCATCTCCCTCTCCACCTCCTCCACCTCATCCGTCATCAACTTAATCCTCGTCATAGCCTGCTTGGCCAACTCCAACTTGCCTGCCTTCTTGAACGTCAATGCAGCACTCTTCGTTGACGTAATAGCTTCTTTGACTTTCTTGATGTAGTCTGTCATGTGTAATCAGCAGTATGAGTGACACTCTCCAGAACGCGTTCGAACGAAAAACCGTCAAGACATGGATCCATCCACCGGCTAAAAGACTCACCAGACATAGTCAAACTCCCCGCCTGGACCAAAGTAACCAACAAGTTCATGCGGATTTGGTATTGCGTTTTGCGGTCCATTAGGTCGTCCACGCTTTTGCGCTCTTTCTGTGCCGCTGCGATCTGGGCAAGGATCTGGTTGTGCTCGTGTTCCAAGACTTGGTTGGATATGATGTAGTCCGGACTGATGGCGGATGGCGTAAGGAAAGTTCTCTGATTCCCATCGCATTGTGACGTTTGATCAAAGACGATCACGTACCTGAGGAACCGCATCTCCAGTTCATCCGCATCCGCCGCACCGCCTGCACCAGCCGCCGCAGCCGTTGCACTAGCAGGTGATGTAGTAGGCTGTGTAGCACCAGCAGGTTTCGCCGCCTGCTGAGGTTGCGCAGCTGGCTTGGGTTGCTGTGGCGACGGCGTTTTCGCCGACGGTTGAGTTGGTGTTGTGACTGCTGTTGCAGGCGAAGCAGCAGCTTTTGCACCTGTGGCTACCTTCGGTGCAGCCGCCCTGGCTGGCTGTGGCGTCGTTGGTGCAGCTGCAGCCGCCGCGGCAGCAGTTGAAGTCCCTCCCGCCGCCCCACCCAAATCCAACACAACCCACTTTTCCTGCTTTTTGGTCACATCCCTCTTCAATAGTGGTGTTCTCAACTTGATATGTATTTCCAACTTGCCGCCCATTGATCGTCGTGGATTATTTGGGTCAACGAGCTGCGCGTTTCAGGTCATGAATCAGAATAATGGGTCATCCATTGATGAATAATCAACCAAAAAATCGCCAAAAATGACCCACCTCCACAACCTCATGCACCTCACACTTGTTCAACAAAGCATCAATCTTGACAGTCGCTCTCCCCAAACTGACTTTCTTCCCCGCCAATCCAAACAACACCCCCCTATAATGGTACACATCAAACGTCGCCTTCTTCCTCTCAAGATACCTCTGAAACCCTTTCGTCCTCTCAATCTTAATCTTCTTCGTAAACCCATACTCTGTCACAACCAGAATCATCAATACACCCCTAATCACGCACCACCAAACACGCAAATCACTCACCAGGATTAACCGTCTTCTTCACCACCGGTGTATCCCCCTTCCCCTCACCCCCCTCCTCCGGCCACCCAACATCAAAATTAACATAACTCTCAATATCCGCCCCAGCAACCTCCCTACTACTCAACCCATAAGCCCTCACAATCCCAACCTCCAACTCATCCACCGCCAACTCCGTATGCGCCTGTTCAACCTCATACTCGACAACTTGATAAACAAACGCCGGCGGTCGCGCATTAGGCGTGGCTTTCAAACTCGCTAGAATGTCCAAATCGCTTTGCAAGTTTTTCTTCAGGCGGTGGAACGTGACGGCCTTTTCTTTGGCGTTGGATTTGAAGTAGTGGGCGGAGACGGTGGTGCAGAGGGAGATTTGGTTGGTGAGTTTTGTTTCGAGGAGGGTGAAGATGTCGGAGGAGAGGGAGGCGACTTGGGGGGAGGTTGTGGGGGATGTGTCGATGGATTCGGCTTGAGCTACACCGAGGGGTTGGGATGTATTTGATGCGGATTGCTTTTGAGTGGTTGATTTGGTGGTGTTGACGCGTGGGGTTGACGTTCCTGATGATGACGGTGCGGGTGAAGGTTGTGGAGATGGGGCGTCGAATGGTGAGAATGGAATGGTGTAGTTATCGGGTAGCGTTTGTCCCGACGAGAGGGCGTCAATGGCTTCCTGCATGGTCTTACTAACAGAAAGCATCTCGCGCGCCTTGACTAGATCATTTGCATGCTTTGCTTGAACAGCTGCTTGCTTATACTCCAGTTGCCGGCGTTGCAGCTCTTCCAGCGTCACTTGTGGTGGTGATGCATCTGGCGCGGCTTCTACTTGGATTGACGGCACATCGTCAAGATCTAGCACGGGCGCGGATTGCACAAGCGGTTGCGGTGTAACAACAGGAGAGGCTGGTCGCAGAGTGCTAGCTGCCGGCTCCTTTGGCCGCTCCACCTCATTATATACTTCCTTCTTTGGCGGCGGCGGAAGCTTGCGCTGTTCGATAGCCTCCGTGACTTCCTGAAGCCGCGCTTCCAAAGCTTTTAGGTTCCGCACGCTTTCCAATGCCCCAGCCTTGTCGCCTGCTCGCTTTTTGTTTACTGCCCGAATCTTTTCCAGCTTGACATACTTGTCCAACACAGACGGGTCCTCCGCTTTGAGCTTATATTCTAGGGGA